TCACGAAGTGCTGAAAATTAGACACTTTTTTACAAATGAAAGTTAAAACTGTAAGGCAGAGGAGAAATCAGATGTCTCACACATTACACCCTTGGCCCTCTTCCTGAAAATCTTTTGAAATCTTCCTCTCAGGCCACTATTTCAGTACAATCGCAGTTTTTCGTAGGCGCGACACATTCCAGGAAGCACAAAGGAGCGTGTGTTGTGTTGTCTTTTGCCTTAGCCAAGTTCCAAAGTGGGCAGTTGGACTGGAAGATGTTGGGATTGCAAACCGCTGTTGGTTTATTTAGAGAATATTTAGAAGCTCAAGAGTTGAACGGTGCAGTCCTTTGGTGTGCCCCCTGAGCTTGGGGGTTTTCTTGCAGGCGATTCATGACCTAACTGGGTAACATTGTCAGGGTTAGAAGGGAAAGGGGTTGGTGGAGAGGAGGAGGAGGATGTACAGGAGGAAGAGGGGAGGGGAGGAGAAGGAGGGGGAGGAGAATGTCTGTNGATAGATAGATAGATAGATAGATAGATAGATAGATAGATAGATAGATAGATAGATAGATAGATAGATAGATGCTGAGCTGTTCAGTGTTGCTTTAATGTTCTACAGCCCCCTTCATGGTTAAGACAGTGGGCTTATCTTTTGGAAAGACAGCAGCTCAGGTTCAAGACCCGAGCGCCACGGGACGGGGTGAGTTCCCATCCTCCCTCCGGCTCCTGCTAACCTAGCAGTTTGAAAGCAAGCAAATGCGAGTAGATAAATAGGTACCACTTCAGTGGGAAGGGAACGGCGTTCCGTGACATCATGCTGGCCACATGACCCCGGAAATGTCTTCGGATATGGCTGGTCAACGGCCTTGGAACGGAGATGAACAGCGCCCCCCCTCTAGTCGGCAATGACTCACGGAGTAAAATCCGTCGGGCCTCCTTCCCCTTTTTTACTCCAACTTTACTATTAGGATCACAGACCACAAGAGAGCCAGCTGGGTACAGAAATGTCAGTCTTTTTATTAATTCTTTGTCATTTTAATGATGTCGTTTGTTTCTGCGCGACGGCCGCTGCTGCTGTTTGAAAGGTAACTCCGGGGTCGAGAAAACCCCGAGAAAATTGTACACACTTACATGGAAACCAATTTTTTTTAAAAAAAAAACACGCAGTTTAGTTTTCTAGGATTACTCGCGACAACTTGTGCTACACAGAAAGGTGTGGTTGCGTGTCTGCGGGAATCGTCTGCTTATATACATAGCTTTTAGCACCGTCGGAGGTTGTGAGATTTGAAGAGAAGAAAAAAGTCTGGGAAATTGCTAGAGAGTGTCTGAAATGGGGTAGTGGGTTGGACTAGAAGACCTCCAAGGTCCCTTCCAACTCTGTGATTGTGTTAAAACGCACAAACCCAAGCTCTCGTGTGCTTGCTAACAAAATGATGCGGGGCCTTTTGGCTGTTTTGCTGCTGATGGAACGTGTTGTCCTAGTAGTTAATCTGAACAGAATAATAATAATAATAATTAAAAAAAAAAACAATAGGACACCCAAAAAAAGAGCAAAAATAATGGAGAAAAATCAAAGCCTTTTTTTTTTCTACCCACATAACGTCATGCAGAATTCGGTCACCGGGCAGAGAGCACAGCAAGGGAGAAAAAAAAATTATATCAATATAATATTTCCGCAGGTTAATCATCAATTTCATTCCCAACCAACCTTTTGCAGATCGACTTGTCAAGACGATGGTTTAATTTCCCTCTGGGGAGACGCCGCGAAGATGTTCAAACAAAGTCAGAACAGAAATATAAATCTGTCTGTTTCGACAGACTTTGGGGGAAAACTGGCAGAATAATCTGCATTCCCCCCCCCCTCTCTCCCTCCCTTCTAGAGGTTTGCAACGGGATGAGGATTTGCAATTCTTTGCAATGGGATGAGGATTTGCAATTCTTTGCAACGGGGTGAGGATTTCCCAGCAGGCCAAATTGGGCAGCCTCTTTAAAATTGAGCACAGCCCCCTCCCTGAGAAATTTTAGGGATCGGCTTAATGGGTTATTTATTATTATTTTTTAACGATGATTACTTTTTCACTTCCACCGAAATCTCTCAGATGCTTTGCTCAAGTGAGAGGCTCCCAATTTGGCCTAAAGTGAAATCTCTCTTTGGGATCACTCCTCATTAGGATCAGAGGGAAAGAGAGAGACAGAGAAAGAGAGAGAGGGAGGAAGGAAGAGGGAGAGAGAGAGAGAGAGAGAAAGAGAGAGAGAGGGAAGGAGGGAGAGAGAGAGAGGGAAAGAGAAAGAGAGAGGGAAGGAGGGAGAGAGAGAGGGAAAGAGAAAGAGAGAGAGAAGGAAGGAGGGAGAGAGAGAGACAGAGAAGAATTTGGAGCATTTTGTTCTTAAAATATTAGTTTTTCTTCCGTTGTTTTGTTGAGAGGTTTTGCTCAAGGGCGGGCCGCAATGGAGGCCAACAAGATGTTTTTTCGCCCCTCCTGGAATGGAATCTCCCCCCCCAACCCTGGAAAGGAAATTAAACCATCATTGTGAGTTTGTGAGAGATGCAACAACAAGAATCTGGTTCTTCAGATTAAAAAAAAAGAGAGAATTTTTTTTTTAGAAAATAAAATTACATCTGTGCTCGAATCATGGAGCGGAAGAGCGTCACAGCGGTTAGAGCAGAAGAAGGCACCGTTTTAAGGAGAATTTTGCAAATTTTGGGCCAATTTATAACACTGGGGAGGGTGAGAAGGACAGGACACCCAGTGCGTTTTCTCCTCTTGGCGATGGGCGGCATTCCAGGGGCCGATGGGAATCTCCCTTTCGTGAAAATGATAAGCAAATATCCTGCGTATTTTGTGAATTTATTTACGGAGTTGGTGAGTTTGGGGCACCTCAGAAGGGCCCAAAGAACTAACCCACAATGTTGGTTCGAGGCAGATCAAGGTTTGTTCCCGATCTTCCTTAGCAGAAAAAACTGGAACACAGGCAGGCATCATCGCTTGTTTAAAGTTATAATAGGGCTGGGAAAAAATGCCTTGCGACTGGTCCTCACACTTGCGACCGTCACAATATGATCGTGGCGTGGGCGCTTGTGGCGAGGGTCAGATGTCGAGCTCACCGCATCCACAAACCAGCATTTGCGATCTTCCCAATAAGGGAAAGCCAGCAAATCCCTCTTGTGGGGTGTCCCATTTAATGACCACACTGCTTAACAATGAATTTTCCAGCCTTTCTTATGGTCGTAAATTGAGGACTACCTGTGCGGAGGATGGAATCTCCGTTTGTCGTTGTTGTTGTTGTTATTGTTTAAACTTTGTGTTCTTAGTGTAGGTATTCGTCCTAGCCTGATTGTGCCACACAAACCAAGATTCCTCTCCCAAAATTGCAGGGGGAAAAATGGAATTTATGTCAGTTTGTTGATACTAAATGCTATCACCCCTTGGTTAGACAGATTATTATTGTAGCAGTAAAGATGCCCATTACAACTCGTAAATGCTTTCATTTCCAAACTTCAGCAGCTTTAAAATGTGTGAACTACAATGCCCAGAATTTGCCAGCCAAAAATCTGGCAGTTGAACTCCACACATTTTAAATTTGATGAGATGGAGAAATGTGCATTAAAACATCATGGCTGGGCTGCAGCCTTCCCAACGGCCAGCAGGTGGAAGCAGAGGACCCCAAACCAACTCCTTGCCGCTGCCTGCTGGTGGTCAGAGGTACTGCACCCTTGATCTGGTAATCTTAGCAAAGCCAAGAGGACTGGGTGGAGGAGAAAGGGACTTCCCGGGGGAGTTGGGGGGGGGAAGAGGAGGGCCAGGAAAGGCCCCGCGTTCGAATTAGACGGCCGAATCGCTTTTAAGGATATTCATGAGGGCGTTTTTGAGGCTGTTTTTGCTGGGGGACTTGACGGCGGGCTTGAGGCCTTCGGCCTCATGCTGGTCCTTCTTTGCTTCCATCTCGATGGTCAGGACCACCTGTTTCTTGGCCGCCTTCTTCTCGATACCTTCTCTGCCGGCTAACCGCTATTTCTTATCCTTGCGCGAATCTCCCAAGCGGGACTTTTTGTCGCTCGATTTGGTGAGGCGGCTGTGATCCAGCATGGCGTACAGGACGGGGGTCTATCAAAAGGAGAAGGAGAAGAAGAGAAAGGAGGTCGGCACACAGGAAAATGGCAGCTTTTACGACCGTCGCGGCTTACGACCATACTAGGCAGGCTCAATGGCGGTCGTAAGCCGAGGACGACCCGTAAGGCTGAGAGATCCTTATTTGGGGAGCGTCTTCCTCTCTCCCTCCCCAAGGCTCACCTGATCGCGTCGTTTGGAAGAATCCTTCCCCAGCCTCAGTTTCCCTTTCTCCATGGCGCTAAAAGTGGAGACAAGAAGAGAGAGGCATTGTCCTGAGCTAGGTTTCCCCATAAAGCATAAATCACCCGTTTAATCCCAAAGACCCTCTTTTATTTAAACGGCTTTGAATTAGGATGATTCACAGCCCGTAATGATTCACAAGCAGTCTGCGAAGAGTCCGACACCTTGAATCGTGGGATTTGTGAAGCCCCCACCCCGATTTAGGCTCCCCTCACACATATGTGCTAGCCGTTCTCGACTGCAGGGGGCGGTGCTCATCTCCGTTTCAAAGCTGAAGAGCCAGCGCTGTCCGAAGACGTCTCCGTGGTCATGTGGCCGGCATGACTCAACGCCGAAGGCGCACGGAACGCCGTTCCCTTCCCACCAAAGGTGGTTCCTATTTTTCTACTTGCATTTTNGGGAGTTGAAGTCCGGACATCTTCAAGTTGCCAAGGTTGAGAAACTCTGCTGTAAGGGAATAGGGATGGTGGAGAAGAGGAGGAGGAAGAAGAGGACTACATCCCCCATCCCCGGGTAGGAGATTATGGGTACTGTAGTCCCGTCCCCCCCCAGCCTCCGGGAAGGGCAACCCCGCCTCCTTCCCACCCTCCAAGCGCCTCCAAGCGCCCAGCGGCTCCGCACTTCCGCCCTTCTTTCCCTCCGGCGACGGAAGTCGGGCGGTGACGTCAGCGGGCAACTCGGGGCGCCTGCTGGCCAAGATGGCGGCCTCCGTCTTGAGGTGACCGGAGAAAAGGCGCGCCGGAGGGGACGGGGATCCCCGCGGCGGCTTCGTCTCGCCTGGGAGGGCTCTCGGTGGCCCCCGGATCGGAGAAACACGCCTTTTCGGGGCCGGGAAGGGGGGATTATTACGCGCGGGGTGTCTTCGGGTGTGGGAGGGGGGATTCACACGAGCACCCAAAGACACGTGTCTTCCCTTTTCGCCTCCTTCCCTTTTCCTGCGCGTGTATTCAGTCCTTTTTCCCCCTCTGGGGAGGGAGGGAGGCGTCGGACTGCACAGCCCATCCTCCCCAGCCTGCAGGGCTGCAGGTCCCTCGCCAGCCGGGGATGATGGGCGCTGTAGTTGCCTTGCGAAAGAGAAGGGGGTGGAAGAGCTCTGCAAGTCGTGGGAGCGCCGTACACGTGTCTGATGTGTTAGGTCCGACTGGCACCCCCTATGGGTTGCACGGAGCGGAGCCTGACTGCACAACCCATCCTCCCCAGCCTGCAGGGCTCCTCCTCCCAGGCAAGCCGGGGGTGATGGGCGCTGTAGTCCGACACACACACACCCCCCCGCCCTTGCCTTGCGAAAGAGAAAGGAGCTCTGTTCTGCAAATTGAGGGACGGACACGTGTCTGGTGTGTATGTCTGAATGGCCCAGCATGGAGGGCGCCCCCTATGGGTTGCAACTCGTGTGAACGTAGCTGAGCAAAGGGCCCCATCTGGATCCCCTGGTTTCATCTTAAATGAAACCAGGGGATCCAAAGCAGCATAAGGAAAGTGTCGGGGGTGAAGGCCTGGGTTCGAGTCCTCCCTCAGCCACGAACGCTCTTCCTTTGCTCTTCCTCGCCGCAGCCTACCTTGCAGGGTTGTTGGTGGGGGGAAGAATTGTGAAGATCAGTGTCCTGGGGACACTTTAGGGGCGGGTTGTGGCTCTCATACCTAAAGCAGGACTAGAACTCCCCGTCTCCTGGTGATTGGCCCAAAGTCACCCGATTGACTTTCCTACTTAAGGTAGGACTAGAACTCACTGCCTCCTAGTGATTAGCCCAAAATTANTGGGGGCAATATGCTGACTCTGTAAACCGCTTAGAGAGGGCTGAAAGCCCTATGAAGTGGTATATAAGTCTAACTGCTATTGCTATTGCTATCTTTAAGCCAAGAATCATGGTTCTGAGCTACATTGTGGCTTATTAGTGCAATCTGTCAATCCAGATTGGGAAGGATCAATTGTGAAACTGAACGAAAACTTTCGAACTTGCTCTCCTAATTCTTTGAATTGTCCCTTCCTTTCTCAATTCCTTCCTTCCCTTTCTTTCCAACAGGGTCATAAATGTACTATTATTATTATTGTCGCTTTTCGGAGCAAGAAATCTTTCTGGAACTCCTGGATATAAAAAAACATCTATTTTTGAGAACTGATGTCCTGCAAACTGGCCATTTTTGCTTTATAAAACAGAAATTGCCTAGAAAATAACTGCAAATGGTTAAAAACAGACACGATCCGGTAGGATTAGCCATGCGGGATGCTGGGACAGTTATAATCAGAGATAAATAAATTTAATTTGTCAGGTCAAACCGGTGCCCAACAACACAATTCTTACTTCTGTTTCTTCTCCCGCACCCAATTCCCATGTTCGCTCCTCCAAAAATAATAGGAAGATGTTACAGAGCACTGGAAAATATATTGCTTTGTTCTGCTAATGCGCTTCTCGGCTCTACGGAAAGCAATTTAATCTGTCTGCCCCCGTAATGGGTTGCATTCCCCCCCCTCCTTCCGAGTGGAAAGAGAAATGTTATAAAAATGATTGCTCCCCCCAAAAAAGGAAGGTCTTTGTTGAAGCCCAAACCACAGAAAATAGAGATGTGTTTACCAGATTCTGAGACATCCCGGGTTTAATAAATCGATTATTTTACAAATTAAGGTCATCCATAAAATTTCAAGGCAGGTTAATAGTTCTACATACGTTCATTCATCCTATCACAAATCATGGTTTGTCCAGTTTGGGGTTGGCCCAAGGGGGAAGCCCAACCCAAAGTGGTTTTTCCCAACAAACCACCATTCAGCAAAATCACTGCATGGTGTGAGTCCCATTTCTCAGGTTTTAAGGCGTGACGAACAAAACAGAAAAGAAACAGAGACGGAAGGGACCTTGGAGGTCTTCTAGTCCAACCCTCTGCTCAAGATCCTACGAGACACGGTGGCTTCTCCGCATGACAAGAGACGTCGTGATTATGAATTGTTCAATTAATAACGGCCAGGTCCTGTCACTGTTTTCTCCTGCTTAAAATTGGAGGCCCTTTTTTTTTTATTAAAAGCCGTGGCTCGCAATATTAAACACAATTTTTAAAATCAGAACGCCTAACTTTTGCCAGGGATGCGGTGGCTCAGGGGGTTAAGACGCTGAGCTCGTCGATCAGAAAGGTCGTCAGTTGGGCGGTTCGAATCCCTAGCGCTGCATAATGGAGTGAGCTCCCGTTTCTTGTCCCAGCTTCTGCCAACCGAGCAGTTCGGAAGCACGTAAAAAATGCAAGTAGAAAAATAGAGACCACCTTTGGTGGGAAGGGAACAGCGTTCCATGCGCCTTCGGCGTTGAGTCATGCC